CACTGTCTCTCTCTCTCTCTCTCTCTCTCTCTCTCTCTCTCTCTCTCTCTCTCTCTCTTTCTTCTCTCTTCTTTCTCTCTTCTCTCTCTCAGTCTGTGCACTCTTTGTCCTTTGTCATATCCCTTCGTCCATAGCCTGACCCCGTGAGCTCACATTGACAACAACTGTATTTGAGTTCAGAAGTAATTAGTGCACCAGCACTCGAAGAGCCAACTGTGTGATTTGCAGTTGTATTTGAGTTCAGAAGTAATAAATGCATCGACACTTCGTGAGCCAGCTGTGTGATCAGCAACTGTTATATTCAGAGGTAATCAGTGGACCAGCACTTGGCAAGCCAGTTGTGTGATTAGCAGCTGTTGTATTCAAAGGTAATTACTAATTAGTGTTCCCTCACTCGGCGAGCCAACTGTATTTGCTTTCTCCCACTTTGCTTCCTCCCTCTCTTTCTCATCAGCTAGTTCAGTACAGGATCCTCTTTTCCTCTCTCTCTCTCTTACTTACTGTCTTTCTCAATGAGTGCATTCCCTCTCTCTCACTGCGCACACTTTCTCTTTATCTGTGCAGTCTCTCACTCTCTCACTCACTACAAAGTCACTCTCTCTCTCACCCGCAGTCTCTCGCTCCCGCTGTGCAGTCCCCTTCTCTCTCACTCTTCCTTTCACACGCCAGTAACCGCCTGAGCGCCGACTCGTCTCCCTCGTGCTTGCCTCCCACTCTGTAACTCCTTGACGCCGGGCACACCTCCCATGCCATCCCTCAGTCCTCTCTCCTCATCCCCCGTGCATCAGTTTGCCCCTCGATGCTTCCGCCCTGAGCCAGGTATTGCGGGTACGCCTTGCACATTGTTCCTCCGTGGTTGCTTGCGCTTCAACGTGTTGACCTGCCTGCATCCCACTGCGCTGGACGCCAGGTACACCTTGCATACCGTCCCCGATCTCTCCTCTGTTCCCCCCTATATTCATTCCACATTTGCTTGTACTGCCGAGACCGTCGGTACCAGGCCCAACACAGGTTCATTACGGGTGGTACGTGAGCACCGTCCTCGGGTCAACAACTGGGTGTCGTGGTACCAAACCGGGTATAGATGGCCGCAGTGATGGTGCCGGGCCTGAGTTAATTATCTGTGATAGCACCGAACCTGGAATAACCTGCCGTCCAGGTTCCGGGCCTGAGACAGACCACCGCGGCAGTCTCCAGACTTGAAAATAAATCGTCCCGAAGCCGCAGAACCTGAAATAAGCCGCCGTGGCGGCGGCGTACCTGAAATAAGTCGCCACAGTGTCCCCAATAAATTGTCCCAATGGCACCGAACCTGACACATGCCACCGTGAGGGTGCCGAATCCGGATAATAGTCTGCCGCAGCGGTGCCGGAGCTGAAAAAAAATCACCGCCGAGCCTGAAAATAAATTACCACTAGGATCCCGAACCTGAAATACATCGTCATAGTGGCTCCAGACCTGAAGGTAAAGCACCACAGAGGTCCCGAACCTGAAATAGATCGTCACAGTTCTCCCGGACCAGAGAATAAATCACCACAGAGGTCCCCAACCTGAAATAGATCATCACAGTGCTTCCGGACCTGAGAATAAATCACCACAGAGGTCCCGAACCTGAAATAGATCGCCGTGAGGGCGTCGAACCTGAAACGAAACAACGGGATGCCACCAATCCTGATCAAACCCGAAATCCAATACCGGGCTGCTGTGCCACCTGGACGCCGAACCCGTACAACCATGCCATGATAATTCCGTACCTGTCCCGCACTTGATATAGGACACCACAACGTCTCCGGACCTGAAAACAAACTGCCGCCAAGGTCCCAAACCTGGAATAACTGTCATAGTGGCCCCGGTCCTGAGATTAAATCACCGCAGC